CTGAAAAATACAAAAACGGAAATTTAAACAATAAAATGCTTTCTTTGGTTCTTTGGTTTGGGAATTAATGTCGGAACTATTGCAGAAAAAAAATGTATTTTTTCTGCAACAGCTGCGGCATTAATTTCCGTACTAACAAAGAAAGAAAGACATTTTATTAGTCCCCTACCGGTGAAACCGGAGGGGACTATAGGTTTCCTCTGAGTCTGTCCGTCCGTCCGTCCGTCTGTCTGTCTGTCCCTCTGTCTGTCTGTCAGTCTGTCCCACTTGGTTTTCCGCACTTTTTTCCTAAACGCTTGCAGATATTGAGCTGATTTTTGGTACGTGAGTGTATCTTGCAGAGTTACAGATCAAGTTTGCATTTCGTTCCGCTTCATTGATTTTTGACGGAATTACGGCCTTTTCAATTTTTAGGGGTTTTCCGCAATTTTCTTCTAAACGCTTATAGATATTGAGCTGATTTTTGGTATGTGGCTTTACCTTGATTAGTTATAAAACAAGTTTGCATTTCGTCCCGCTTCATTAATTTCTGACGGAATTATGGCATTTTCAATTCTTAACGGGAACCAGATTACACTTGCCGGTAGGGGACTAGTATTGCTAATGCAATACTCTCAGAATGCTTGTTAGTCCCCTACCGGTGAAACCGGAGGGGACTATAGGTTTCCTCTGAGTCTGTCCGTCCGTCTGTCTGTCTGTCTGTCCCTCTGTCTGTCTGTCAGTCTGTCCCACTTGGTTTTCCGCACTTTTCTTCTAAACGCTTGCAGATATTGAGCTGATTTTTGGTATGTGAGTGTATCTTGATGAGTTACAGATCAAGTTTGCATTTCGTTCCGCTTCATTGATTTTTGACGGAATTATGGCATTTTCAATTTTTAACGGGAACCAGATTACACTTGCCGGTAGGGGACTAGTATTGCTAATGCAATACTCTCAGAATACTTGTTGTTTATATTTATATCTTTGTAAATTAAATATATTAATTAAATATCTTTATAAACTAAATATGTTAAACATTGTATTATAGATGTGTATGTCACTGTATGCATAATTGATGGAACAGCCATTGCTGAAGAAATCTATGCAGGTGGCTTGTTGGTAGTGGCGTTTACTGACTGATTAACAGCAATGTTTTTTTTTATCTGTTGATTCATTTTATTAACAGTTGAACATCTACTTTTCTATGGAGTTCAGTATACAGTAAAACACGCTTATAGCGAACCCGCTCACAATCAATGTATTGTCACGTACAGCAAAGTGATTTCCATTTCCCATGGCATTAAAATACATGTTTATTATGAATTTAACTTCATTATAAATGTTTCTTACTGTATTATATAGCATCTGATTCCTTGTACACATCTATTAAGAAAAAGTGTTTAAAAATAAAAACCAACAAAAACAATAAGTTTAATTCAATAATTAACTCTGTAATGTATAACCGTATACATAGTTTGACCAGAGATATAATATGTTATTTATGTCTCCGATTTGACTAGCTGAGGATTACAATAAATAAACACTTGAAAACAAAAAATTAACCAATTTGATCATTTAGGAGGGCTCGGTGACCATGGACATTTTAGGCTTTTTAAAAAGACTCCTGGAAAAGGAGCGATAAAACTATTGGAAAATGTATTATAAGACGAGACAAAACAGATCATTGTATATAGATAGGATGGAGAAAGTGGTTAATTATATATGTGTTTCCAACAAGGTTTGTTATTTTCCTTCCTTTAAACATATTGATATGAAATTTCACAGAAGATTCAAATATGTAAAAATAAATGTTTACAATCCCCCACCATACCATGGTAAAAAAAAAAATTGTGTAGGATATTGTTAGTCGTTTATGAAGGGGTCTATTTTTCATTGTTTCTTGCATCTCTATCTTTATTTTACATTCATCCAGAAAAATGCATTAACAATAAGACAGTGATAAAGAACTTTGCAACCATACAATCAAGAAAAAAATGAAACCAAGAGGCGAAAGCTCTGTAGAAATTGATAGAATTTCAGAATGTGTAGTATAAAGATAATGCCTCATGCCCGTAGGAACCGGGGGGGGGGGGGGGTATAGATTACTATATAGAAAACATAGCTACTATATGTTTGTGCCCTCTCAATAAAAACATCTGATGACCTTTTTTCTTTTTTGCTTGTCAAGGAATTCTGGTAGTTGATAGTGCCCCCCCCCCCACCAACTTATGTATGGCTGTGCCCCCCGCCCCAACTGAATTGCTTCCTACGGGCCTGGCATTATCAAATTATCTGTTGACAATGAAACAAATTTATTAGTCCCCTACCGGTGAAACCGGAGGGGACTATAGGTTTCCTCTTATTATGTCTGTCCGTCTGTCTGTCCGTCTGTCTGTCTGTCTGTCCCACTTGGTTTTCCACTTTTTTCCCCTAAACGCTTGCAGATATTGAGCTGATTTTTGGTATGTGAGTGTATCTTGATGAGTTACAGAAAAAGTTTGCATTTCGTTCCGCTTCATCGATTTTTGACGGAATTACGGCCTTTTCAATTTTTAGGGGTTTTCCGCAATTTTCTTCTAAACGCTTTCAGATATTGAGCTGATTTTTGGTATGTGACTTTACCTTGATTAGTTATAGATCAAGTTTGCATTTCGCCCCGCTTCGTTGATTTTTGACGGAATTATGGCATTTTCAATTCTTAACGGGAACCAGATTACACTTGCCGGTAGGGGACTAGTATTGCTAATGCAATACTTTCAGAATGCTTGTTGTTAACGCAATTTTATGAAACTTTCACTGAATCTCTATAACATACTTACTTTGCGACCTCCTGTTTTATTTTTCAGATATTTGGGGTTTCCCATAGCAAAACTTGGACACTGCCATTCTTTCTATAATATTGAAGGTGCCCATCTCTTATCCGCAAGTCTACCTATACCAGTGAATAAAATTTAATCAGACTTCCACGGAATCTTTATTACATAGTGCCATTGTGCACGTCCTATTTTTTATGCTCTGCTTGGACAGATATTTAAGGTTTTTCCATAGCAAAACATGGACTTTGCCATTATACCCATATGAGAGGGGAGGGGGTATCATTTATGTGAGCGTAAGATAGAATGTTAGAAAGTATCGTTAAACAGGGTTAAAGTGCTAAATCTAATGTCCTACGGACCTGGAGGCCTGTCCCGAGACACAGTTTATTAGTCCCCTACCGGTGAAACCGGAGGGGACTATAGGTTTCCTCTGAGTCTGTCCGTCCGTCTGTCCGTCCGTCTGTCTGTCTGTCTGTCCGTCTGTCTGTCTGTCAGTCTGTCCCACTTGGTTTTCCGCACTTTTCTCTTAAACGCTTGCAGATATTTAGCTGATTTTTGGTATGTGGGTGTATCTTGATGAGTTACAGATCAAGTATGCATTTCGTTCCGCTTCATTGATTTTTGACGGGATTACGGCCTTTTCAATTTTTACGGGTTTTCCGCAATTTTCTTCTAAACGCTTATAGATATTGAGCTGATTTTTGGTATGTGGCTTTACCTTGATTAGTTATAGATCAAGTTTGCAATTCGTTCCACTTCATTGATTTTTGAAGGAATTATGGCATTTTCAATTCTTAACGGGAACCAGATTACACTTGCCGGTAGGGGACTAGTATTGCTAATGCAATACTCTCAGAATGCTTGTTCTAACTAGAGATCAGTGTTCACAGTACCTCTAGTTTTTTTTTCTTTTTTTAAAGCAAAATGTATGGAACGCCAAATTAACATATATTCAAATATTTGAACCTATCTTCAATTAATTGTACCTATCTTCAAACCAATTGTACCTATCTGTGAATGAACTAAAGATAGGTTTAATTCAATTATACCTATCTTTAATTCATTTGAAGATAGGTACAATTGATTTGAAGATAGGTACAATTGATTTGAAGATAGGTACAAATGCCATGAATTAAAGATAGGTATAACTGATTTAAAGATACATGTAGGTGCAACTGAATTGAACCTATCTTTAATTATACAGACACTACAATAACAACTACTCCCCATAAAAATGCTTTGTTCGGTTACCTCCATGTTCAAGTCGCTGTTAGAGGGAGTTTTCATTATTTTCTATCACACAAAATGACTTGAACCTAGGTATAATTGAATTGTACCTATCTTCAAATCCTTTTGGATATGTTTCAATTGTACCTATCTTCAATTGTACCTATCTTTAAATCAATTGTACCTATCTTCAAATAAATTAAAGATAGGTATAATTCAATTGAACCTATCTTAAATTGAATTAAAGATGTAAATTCCATTAAAGATAAATGTAATTTATTTGAACCTAGGTTTAATTATTTAGAGATAGGTATAATTATTTATACCTATCTTTAATTCATTTAGACCTATCTTTAATTCAATTGTACTTATCTTCAATTCATTTGGAGATAGGTACAATTATTTGAAGATAGGTACAATTATTTGAAGATAGGTTCAAATATTTGAATATATGTTAATTTGGCGTTCCATAAATATGAGCTGCATGCATTTTTGAGAATTTTATTTTGCTGTTAAAATGTGTTTATGATCACGGGCACTGGAAGTTGATGTAAATGTTGAGTATGTGCATGTATAAAAAAGGATTTTATACATGCACATACTCAATATTACATTAACTTCCAATGCCCGTGTTTATGATAATTTTTTATGTGAATCTTTAAATGGACAGAAGCAAAGTATCAAATTGTTTCAGAATAAAGGATTCTGCACAATCTTGTACAGGACGACAGTAATGTAATTTTGCTTCAATCAAAGCTAGTTTTCCATCGCAAATATGAACAACAGAAGTTTATAAACATTCTTTTTTCTGTCATTGAAATAGTTAATTACAATTTTTCAACAAATATTTCTGACATCGAAAAACCATTCTTTGCAAAGCGCGAGCACTCTTATTTTACCTTAAACGTTCAATATTTTATTTTTTGATAATCTCTCTTGGATTCAGAGCTCTTTTGAAATTAAAGGTAAGAAATGTTATGTAATCCAGAAGATGGTTGGAGATGCCCTGTAACCATTTAATTTGTCTTGTTGAATGCACTACATCCCTAGTTTTCATTTTTGCCGAGTGGTAGAATGGAAGTATCATCAAATTCGAATTCTCTAGACGAGGATGTCACAGATAAATCAATTGTAAGTATCTGGGAAAACTGTCGACGAACAGGTCTAGATTAGGCCTAGTGGAGTCTGCTCTGCTTCGGTGATTTTGAAAAAATAATATGAGTAACTTCCGATTTTAAATTCAACGTGTGTATTTTGGTAAGAGATTGGTGGCGTAAATTTTTTGTGTTTCAAGTATTTGTATATTAAGAAAGAATTACTAACAGATACTCTAAAAACTAAAAAAGACTCTGTCTTAAAGATTGTCGGTTAGTTTATATATTACATAATCGATGTGGATTGAGAATACACGAGGGGACCAGCAAGGCAAGGTAAATGTCATTTAATTTCAATCAAGTGTTACAAGATTTCATTATAATTTTTTGTAATCTCGCTCAAAAATTTTGTTAATAAAATTGGAAAAATTGCAGCACTTAGTTAAACTGGGAATAGTAAGTAATTAAGTAAGTAAATTATTTTCAATTTTTGGCCCATTAAGAGCGGGTGCACGATGTTTCGGGACCACGACATTTCGGGACCTGACTAATACGACGTTTCGGGACTAGCAACAAGACGGTTCGGGACTTGGGTAAAGACGATTCGGGACTTGAGTTAATTTTTTTCGGGATCTAAACAAATTATTTAATTATGGTGATATAGCATATTATTCTAATTACACATAGTACCTAATATTTCAAGCTAAATCCAAATTTTAATTTTTATGTATATATATAATAAAAATTGTCATAAAGATATACTTTGATGGGTTTTTTTTCATAACAGACGAAGAAGAATAAATCTTTACAATATTCATTTTTATTTCTTTTTATTTTTTTATCATTTTTTATTAGTTATTTTTTCTTGTGTGTGTGGTGATGGGGGGGGGGGGGGGGGTCCAAAATTTAATCTTCTCAGGATGATGATAGATATTTTAAAATATTCAAGTGATCTTCAGCTACCGTCGAATATATCTTTAAAAAACATGTCAGTAAATTGTTAAAACAACAACTGGGATCAGGTACACGTATCCCAACTGATACTCTGTACATAGGGAGGTGTTACGTACATGTATATATAAAGACGCCGCTGGTAATGGGAACTAAAAAGATTGACTGTGTGGTTTCTTTTGAAATTATTTTAAGAAAATAAAAATCTAAAAATATGGAAAAAATATCGTTTGTTTATTGGTAAATGAAATAATTCAGAATCAAACAATAGTTCAACAAAATATAAAGGTTTTCAAAATGTTTTGATCTTGATTTTGTCTACCTTTTCCCAAACGGTTTCAAATATTTTTTTTCCAAAAAGTTGAACATGGAATATTTCAGATTCTGATTCAAAACAACTACCCATAAAACGTAAAGTTTTTACTGCACATATGCTAGCTTGAGCCTTTGTAAATTTTGTAAACAAATATGAAATCAAATACCTAAAATTATTATTAAAAAGGAGAGAAAGAAAGTCTTAGAAAGAAAAACACGTCCGTGGTCTTCACACAGCAGTTACGATTGTCTCCCGGCTTTAATTCTACAAACTCTCGTATCAAACACTATTAATAAATCAAATACATATTTTTTAAAAAAAAAATTGAATTAAATTTTGGTCAAATGTTAACCAAATACTTTATAAAGGTAATATATCAAATACTGTAATAAGAAATTAAAGAGACAACACCGCGGGCGTTTGATTTTCTCGGCAGGCGTGCTCCATGCCGCAGGCAAACTTTAAAACTAATAAAAACTCCAATCAGTGCTTCTTAAATTATAAATTGTGTATCAAACTGAGAAATTATACATGTATAAACATAAAAACACAAGTAAACAAGTTTTATTTCATTTCCTTTACAAAATATTTAGAAGTCCCGAAACATGTTAGCCCAAGTCCCGAAACGTGTTAACCCAAGTCCCGAAACGTGTTGTTAGGTCCCGAAACGTCGGGGTCCCGAAACGTCGCGGTCCCGAAACATCCATAATTCTTAAGAGCGTATGAGAACAACATCAAACGTAAATAAGAAAACAAACAAACGATAAGAGAACCGATAATCACATTTATTGCAGTTGCAGATACAACTTTAAAATAGAAACATGATTTTGCTTAGAGATATTTTCTCTTAGTAAAATCATCTGCAATGTTTCTATTATATCATTGTTTTGGTTTGTCAGATAAAGATTGAATGAAATTTTTAAACAATCAACTGCATGATTAAACATTAATTGTGAAAATAAATTTATTTGCTTAAAAAGCAGGACCACCCCCCCCCCCCCTTGCAAAATGTTTTTTGTTTCAGATAGATATTAGCCCTATTAGTTCTGGTATCAAATTAGTTTTCATTGTCTGGATAAGATTTGTTGATATGCTAATAGTCAGTGCAATATTTACAGCTGCAACATATGCTACATATTGGATTCACAAATCAGATAAACATTGGAAAATGAATATGTAGTACTTTTAGAGGTTAATCATTTTTATTAGATTTTTTAATATTTTCGCAGTTGTAATTTAGGAATCCTAAGTTTTTACAGCAGGTAATTTTGATTTCCCATCAACTGAGAAAGTTCATGGGTTCTCATTACTGCAAATACAAATTATTGAACAATACCAAATATTTCAATTTTTTCCCTTAAAGCCCGAGATAGTAAGCACCGCCCTCAGATTTACCTGGTCTGTATACCCCCGTCAATCAAGTGAATTAAGGTCCATCATTGGGTGCTTGAAATTGATTGACATTTATTAGCTACTAGTCCATCGTCGCAAACCACGGCCAAAATGTACGATCCTCTCCCATTCTGGCTGTGGTTGAATGAGAAGGGAATATTTCGTAACTCATTAAAATATTGACCAATGCGAGTAAAGCATTGTCGGATAATGAACTTTAACACGACCTTTCAATACCCAATCGCAGTATACGAAACATTTCTTGTTTACTGTTGATGTCAGTTGTAGATTTCAATTGCAATGGAAACAAATATTGTCATTGGCTGAACATGACGTCACAATACAGAGGTGTAAATATTCAAGATTACGACACTTTTTGTGATCAAGCAGCCACGGGTAGGAGAGAGCTATATGCGGACTCCGGACCGTGGCTTGAGACGATGCTACTAGTCCCTGTGTACAACTTGAACACCTTGTTTGACACTCATGGCGACCATCAAATTAACTTTCGATCTTTTGATATTTACCATGTTTACCACATATATAACAGTGTGATAAAGAAGCCATGTCGATGCGAAAAATTTTAGCTTGATTATAATATCTATAGTAGAAACACATGAAAAATCTATTTGTGTCATAAAGCCATGAATGCCCCCTTCAGGCAAGCTAAATTTTAAATGCCATATTTAGTTTTTAATTTGTATTCAAACGACCTGTATTTTCTTGTAAAATAGCTGCATATGCAATTTCAACCTTTTACATTCATCCCTACAAACGTTAGAGAGCAATACTGAAAATTTCTGAATTTTTTCTAAGTTCAAGAGAGATAATTCTATCAGGTGCACATCCAGGAATTTTTTCTAGGGGGAGGGGGTGGGGGTGGGGGTTCTACATCAATTTTAACAAATATCGGACTTGAAAATTAAAAAAAAATGTAGACAACTTGCCCAAACTTGAAAATCTATTGTGGGGGTGGGTGGGTTGCAGGGATGGGGTAATGTGTAATTGTAATTGACAGTAATTAATTACAAATCTCAAAGTAATTGAAAGTAATGTGTATTGTTATACCTTTAATAATTGTCTCCTATGTAATTCTTTACTTAAAAAAGTCTAACATTTCTAATGTTTTACTGAGCGGTCATAAAAAATCGATGTTTGACCGCAGAGCTAGATATTGGACCTGTTGATGAGATGTTGGACCGCTTACATCACAATGTGAGCGGGGTCAGCTGTATCTTATTTCCATTCGTTGGAGTATGACAGAACTTAACGGAATTGACCATGTTTAAACCGCGGTGCGGGTAAACAAAATTTGCATGTTATGTCAAAATAAAAAGTAAAAGGTACAACAAAACATTTATTGACTGTGTTCTCGTGCAAAATGCATTTTGTCGACCCCTCAAACCAAACTGTTTGCCTTCGGCCTAACGGCCTCAGGCAAACAGTTTTGTTCTTGGGTCCGACAAAACGCATGTTGCCCTCGAACCCAGTCAATAAATGTATAATATTGGCCAAATTTTCAATTACATGTAATTGTATTGATATGCATAGGTTATCGTCCTCAAACAGAATGAATATTATTGATATTTAGATTCATTGTTCCAGTCCAAGCAATTACCAGCATAAAGAGATTATACTGCATTTGTGTGTGATTTTTTTTTTTTAAACAAGTTAACTTTTTTTTTATACCCTCTGCAAAAGAGAAGGGGGGGGGGGGTGTTGTGGAATCACTTTCTGTCTGTCCATCTATCTAGCTGTCTCTCTATCTGTCCATGCATTTTTTTTTCTTATAACTTTCTAAATGTCTTATTATGTCCAGATTTAGTTTATTGTTTATGTATGTTATTGGTACTAAGTTTGGAATCTCAAACAGAGATATATAGAATACCATGGATATATCAGAGTAAGGTCACAACCAGTTTTTCTTTTTTTATTTTACTGTCAAAAAAATTCTGGATTTTTTTTTCTTGGCCTTAATCAGTTCAAGATAACAAGGTTTTGACTGTATTTTAAAACCAAAGTTGATACTGTAATCCATTCAGTTTTGAGCTGGGGTGTTGTAGATTCCTAACTGTATATAAGAATGAACTGGGGAAAGAGAAAATGTCTGAAATTTTTATAATTGTGTACATAGTATAAAAGGATGAAAACTGCAATTACTACCCTGGGATCATTAAATAATAATCTTGCCTATTGCTGAAGATCCAACAACTACTCTTTATCTGTAACATTAAGATTAATTAACACCCCTGTCTGCACATTGTATTTGTTTTGAAGCTAGGGTCAATCCTGGGTTATGACTTATAACATGTAGCCTTCTGTGAATGCAAACATTATGTTTGCATTCACAGAAGGCTACATGTTATAAAGTACATACT